CATCAGGGCAGCACCATAGCTGCCACCCAGTAGTCCGCCATGGCCTATGCATGAGAGAGGAGGTTGAAGGAGGGAAAACATAGCCATGGTGGACTTGTTGTTGTTGTTGTTCTTGTGAGTTGAGTCAGCAGTAAGGGGGAAATTCGGACATTGATTCTGGTTCATCCATTCATTGTTATTATTATTATTGAGAGAAGAATAAGATTGGTGAAGAGAAGAGGAAGGAGGAAGGTGGAGAGAGAAGGGGGAATTGTCATTGGTCTTGCTGGTGTACATCTTCTTCTTCTTCTTCTTCTTCTTCTTCTTTACCTCTCCTCTGGTCTTTATTGCAAGTGCTTTCATTTCTTTTGCAATTGGGTGCCATTGTCTTTCATTGTGAATTTGCATTTGGGAAGTGACCAGGATCGTAACAATTGGTATCGGAGCGGACTTACTTGCTGGCGAGAGGTGTTAGTCACCCTAACCCTAATTCCGAATTAGGTTAGGGCTAACCTAATCTCGGATTAGGGTTGGAAGTTAGGGTTAAGTGGGGCAGCGGGGTATGGGGATGCTGCCCCCACCTGGTTAGGTCATGTAGGGTCGACATTGGACCCAACCAGGTTGCTTGAGTGAATGTATGGGGTGGCGAGACACAAAGGAGGCTGTTTGGAGTAAGCGAGAGGGAGTAGAGAGTGAGAGGTACTCGCACCTGGAATCTGGACTTCAGGAAGACATTAAGTGACTTTTGGGCTTCCCCTCAAGAGGGAGACTTGATCGGAAGCTGCCATATCTGCATCGGATTGCTGCAAGTTGCAACTTTGGTCTTCAGGCATCGACGGGGGATCCGACTTTGCAACAGGGGTGTAGGAAGGCCCTCTTAGTCATGCTAGGACACTTCGTGTAGTGGTAGCTAGGGGTCAGGAGGACTTATATGAGAGGGGAGTGACTCGTAATCCATCTTTGGAGGCCGGGCCTCACAGGTAAGTGCCGTGTGACCTGGGAAAGCCCGTGGGAGGTCGCTTGGTGCTTCATGGCCTGTTGGGGGTGTGCTGGGTTCTCTTCTTCTTCTCTGCGGTCTTGGTTGTGTGTGTGAGCTTGTGGATTGCTTTCTCACCTGATGGATGGATGGATGATGTATCTACTCTAAATGACATATCTTTCTACGGTGCATTGTCTTTTCATTTCGGAACGGCTGTAGAAGTGAGTTCTTGCTGAAAGTTGTCTTTTCCTTTTCAGTACGGTAGAGGCAGTTTGGGACCGACTTGGCACCCCTATCACGTTGGTCCTGGTCCACGGCCTACTTGGGACCCCTCGGGACCCAGTGGGACCAGGCCCAACGGGACAGGACCTTTTGGGCCCAGATCTGTTGCCGCCAGTGCATTTCTTTGTTGTGCTGGAATTGGGGGACATACAGACAGCAAGGGCATTCCTTTCAAGGGTATCTTGACTGGCCTTACCGCATGTTAGCACATACTGCCCCGCGTCTGACTCGGCGACCATCTGCACCCCTCGAAATCTCCATTGCTGCAGATTAGYCTTCTTYKTCTGATTTACTGTGWTGYATGTCCCCTGTCAGGTTAGACAAGAGGGGATCTCCAGCTGATCTGATCGGGCCCGTTCTATAAATCAGACCTCTCTGCTGTTTTATTTTTATTTATTTATTTATTTTTATTTATTCTGTTGCTGCGTGCCACACTCCAAGTCCAAATGATTCGCCGCTCCGGCCAGGAGTTCTACCTTCTTCTCTGAGTGGTTTTCTGTTTGTTTCTTTTATCTAAACTATCTATGTCCAGTATCGAGACGCGTGCGCAGACAGCGAAAAGAGAGGAAAGGGAGAGAGAAGGCGTGTTGTTTGACAGTGTGAGAAGGGGTAAGAGGAGTGTTCGTCCAAACGGAGGGAGAGAGCAGACCCCTCTTGAGAGATCTATTGACATCCCTTCCTCCGGCATGGCGAACATCACGTCTGCCCAATGGCAGGCCATGCTGGATACAGCGGACGAGAGCCAGAAACCATTCTTTCAAAAACTATATGATAATGTAGTGCAAAGGGAAAGGGAGGCAGCGGCAGCAGCTAGAACCGCCGACATTGCTGATCAGGTGGCTCTCCTTCGGATCCCGGAAGCCGATGCTGACCGGTTCCAGGAGGAACTAGCTGCTGCTGTAGCAGCCTTGGTCCGGCTGCGGACCTTGGAAAACCTTGAGTCTCGTATGACAACACTTGAGCAGCGGAACGAAGAGCTGCACGCTAAGGTAATTAGCCTCGAACAGTCCCAGCTGTCTGCCTCCCGCCCTCCTAACCCTCGATCTGCTATAATCCCAACCTCTCAAGCCAACACAGCCCTCGTGCCAAGGGCAAGCGGAACCGTGGCAGGCGCAGGAACCAGTGCCAGCTCCTCGAGCGGCAGCACCGGCAATTCTGCGCTGGTCATGGTCCCGAATGCAGGGACATCAGCCCAAAACGCAGCAGTCCCTACTGGCGTTCAGTGCAGCGGTCCCATGGTGGATAAGCGGGCGGCCACGCTGCCGTCCAAGTACGACGGGAAGGCAGACATCACCTCTTGGATTAGTTCCATGAGGTCGTACTTCGACGTCATGCGGACACCGCAAGAGGACCGAAGTATGATCATGGGGACTAATACTGAGCCCGCCGTACGAAACCACATTGAGCTCCAAGCTGTCACAGCAGGCTATGAACGCATAGACCTGACTGATTGGTTGAAGGTCACACTTGTCCGCGCCCTTGAGGATCTTCTCCTTGACCGGTACCGAGATAAACATGCTGCGCTCAAGGCTAGGCTGAAGCTTGAGGCCCTCAAGGGCCAAACATGGAGGTCATCCATGCAGGCTTTGGAACAGCACTTGAGTGGTCTGTTCACCACTCCGGATCTGGGAATGACTGACGTATCTTGTATGGATGTAGTCATGGGAGTGGCCCCTAAAGAATACCTCTCCCTGCTAGCACTCAAGGACCATGCCACCTGGCGAGAGCTCATGAAGGACCTAGTCGACCTAGAGGCCAAGGACCTCGCCAGGCGCAAGAAGGCGCCCGCTGCAGGTGGGAAACCACAACGCAAGCGGTTAGGAAGCAGCAACCAGCTTGCACTGCATGATCATCGGGAGGCTGAAGATCAGTCCTATGCGGATGATCTGTCTTTAGATGACGATCTAGAGCCAGACTCCGATACGGGCTGTTCCACATCAGCCATTGAGTGTGACAGAAATGATGATGAGAAACTTAATGCATTCAGAAAGACTGCTTCAAATAAGGGTCCTGACCGTGGTTCAGGTAAGGGAACTGTCATACACCTTCCCAAAAATGCTAAGATCCCTGAGAAACCGGAGGACGCTTCTACCAAGCCTTGGGAAGCTCTCCGCATCACTCAAAAGGAATGGGAAAGAAGATCCCAACTGCGCATATGCTTGCATTGTCAAAAGCTTGGGCATGCTGTGCAGGATTGCTATCGTCTTCATGGAAACAGGCAAGGGGCGTAGAGGAGTCATCAACACTCTCTACAACAAGGGAAGATGGGCAGTCAGTTGCAGGCCCTTCCGAGGAGCCTGGATCTGATCAGCAGCGTGCTCTTGAAGCCCAAACTAATGCTGAATCCAAGGCTGATGCAGTCCAAGTGTTATACACTGAGCCTTGGGAGGAGTCTAAAGAGGTCGACCTCCACGCCCACATGGAGCATTGGCTGCAGCTCAAGCAGCAACGCCGTGTTCAAGGGAGCGTGGAGCTAACTTTCTTTGAACTACTCATTAACCGCCGATACATCCGTGTGCTGATTGACAGTGGTTCGACCACTAATTTCTTCTCTCCGAACGGGATTCGTAAGGCGGGTCTGGGTATGAAGCAAGTGGAACTGCAGAACCCTTGCCGGACTTAGGTGGGCAACCAAGAGGTTGTCACTTCCACTCATGCTGTCAAAGGTGTGCGCATCACCTTTGACAAAGATCGCACTGTCACACATGAGCTGAATTATTATGTCCTGGACAAGTGTCCTTTCGACGCGGTCATTGGCTTGGGCTGGGCGGACAACCAGTTCGTGATACTTGACGCCAACGGGAACGAACGTACCGTCTTGTTAGATGAGACGCACGAGTCCCCTGTGACTCTTCTCAGTGCTAACAAATTCTGCAGGTCAGTGCGCAGGCGCAAGGAAGCTGAGTTTGTACATATAGCTCTTGTGAAGCCTCTCCATGTGCCTTCTACTTTTGCTGCATTTTCTACCTCTGAAGGTAACTCTACCTCTACTACTTCTACTTCTGTTCCACCTACTTCTACTGTAAATGAACAATCTATTTCTGGTCTAAATACTTCGAAACCGGTTGTGATTGCTGTAAATTCTCGATCTGATTTTCTCTCCCCTGATGAGGATGATCCGCCACCGGAAATCCCAGCGAACATTCGCCTTCTATTAGATCGATTTCCTGAAGTTTTGGCTGAACCTCGCGGAGTATCCGAGCGTCCAGTCAAACACAAGATCGAGATAGTAGAAGGGAGTGTTCCTCCAAAGGGTTGCGTCTACCGTATGAGACAAGGCGAGTTGGACGAGCTGCGGAGACAAATCGATGACATGATTGATCGTGGATGGATTAGGCCTAGCGAGTCCGAGTTTGGCGCACCTGTTTTGTTTGTACCAAAGAAAGGAGGCAAACTCCGGATGTGTATTGATTATCGTGGCCTGAATCGAGTTACCCGAAAGAATGCGTATCCTTTGCCTCGCATTGATGATCTGCTAGATGCGGCAGGTGGGTGCAAGGTTTTTTCCAAGATCGACCTCAAGTCTGGCTACCACCAGATTGAAGTTGATCCGAGTGACCAGCTCAAAACTGCGTTCAAGACACGCGATGGGCTGTACGAATTCATCGTTATGCCCTTCGGACTGACGAATGCGCCAGCCACGATTCAGTGCCTCATGGACAAGGTACTCCGCCATCAGCTTAACAAGTTTGTGGTTGTGTACCTTGACGACATTCTGATTTTCAGCAAGTCCATGGATGAGCACGTCAAGCATCTTGAGGAGGTTTTGCAAGTCCTCAAAGAAGCTCAACTGCACCTCAACTTAGAAAAATTTGAGTTTGGCAGGGACAGTGTCATCTATCTTGGGC